AAACAGGAAAGAGTCCAGGCGATATATCCAACAAAGAAAATAGCCAACCTGTGGACATGGACGGTTTTGCGGATGATGAGTAAGCAGTAATAACTATTCTTTTGTAGCTAAATGACAATAAAAGAGGGATACGTAAAAACAGACACGGAATATTGATACAGAGTGCAGTAACTCGGGAGATTCATGTTATCAATGATAGAAGTCGATTAAATTAAAACAATTATATTAAACGTATTTGACATCAGGTTTTATCCTATTGTATGATTGGGGGATTCTCTGTCCTCATCCATTTCTTGAAAGGAGTCTTAGAACCGTGTCCTTGTTGACGTGAAACACAGAAAGAATCCCAATGACACCAAACAATTATTTGAAATCGTGATCTCCTATCTGCTCTACGATTAGTATAATAATATAACGTTTGGACTGCCTATATTTCATTACGATGCCATTTACAACGCTTAATTTTACATGGAAAACAATCTTTTGAATCGTTATAGGGGTGCTAATCCGGCAACAGTAGAATTGCTGGAAACAGGAAAGAGTCCAGGCGATATATCCAACAAAGAAAATAGCCAACCTGTGGACATGGACGGTTTTGCGGATGATGAGTAAGCAGTAATAACTATTCTTTTGTAGCTAAATGACAATAAAAGAGGGATACGTAAAAACAGACACGGAATATTGATACAGAGTGCAGTAACTCGGGAGATTCATGTTATCAATGATAGAAGTTGATTCCATTAAAACAATTATAATTAACGTATTTGTCATGCAGAGGAGCTACCACTAGATATGATTTCTATAAGGTCTTACATTTTGAAACTTTTTCATTTCACTCTTTTAGACGAAAATTGTGGTATTAATTAGGATATGTCTGTCCATCTGTCATGTTTTAATTTCCGTTTGGTCAGCTCCCTAAATATGTTCCCATTTTGACAAAATGTGTCACAAACACAACAGCAGGATTCGAAATCAAATAACACCGGGCAAAGAAAGTTATGAAATAATACATTTGGTTCAATTCCAAGCAGACAAGGGCAAATCACTGCAAGTGACATTAATTGCAATTTTTTAGAAGTCACTGCAGTGGTATTCTCATCCTTAAGCCATTTTTATTTTGTAAAACATACTATCAAACAATATGTAAATTGATGAAATGTTTTTTGAACTTATTTTGACAACACATTGCCTAGACGAAGTACAAAGATAAATTGCACATTAATCATTAAAAAAAAAATATTTGAGCGACATTTATCGACGCACAAAAATAGATTCAGATAAATTTCAAATCTGCCATAAATATTTGATAGACATGTATTTGCTTTCTTACTAAGATGACCGACAGCAATTTACTTTTGCCTTGCATCATTTTTAAAGGATATATATTTACTTCGGAAACTATGATAACCAATGTCAACATTTTGTACATGCAAAGAGACTTCAAACATCTGATATTATTTATTTTGTATCTTTTCAGACCACAGCCTGGAAAGTCGGGTATTGCTCTCAGTGACACTGTTCAGATTGACAATGAGAACTGATAACAGGGAAACCGTTAGTGTTTTATTAGTTAAACTGGAACATATAAAAAAAAAATCAGAAAAATGTTGTTCCTGAAAATGTCACCCAACTAATGAACAAGAAATAAAAATCTTTTATATTGATTGGTTTAGTTTTATTTTGTTTAACGTAATAATAACAGCTTTGGTCATTTAAGGATGTGCCTCCATGTGGGTTGTGTAAGCGTCTATGTGTGTCGGTGACAGGGTATCTTGGTGTATTTGCCTCCTTGTGATAGCCCGGATCTAATGCCGACTTTATACCACTGAAATAGGCACCCAGCACAGCACAGCATATTTTTTTATGTGGTGTATGCACTTACACTTATGTTACCTTGTAATCCCAATATTCATAGTCCGTTCCAAATGTTCAGTTTGACCACTTGAATTGTTCGGGAAAGCCCCGTTAAAAATAGTGCCAATAACGTCGCGTGATGGTTTTGAAACTATGAAACCAAGGAATATTATTTCTAAGTCCGTGTTGAATCCCCTTAGAAGTAATTATTCATCATCAGAAGTTAATTGCACACATGCCAATATTCAAAATTTAAATGAAGAAATATTTGTTGGCATCTTGGCATTTATTAGCTAACCTGGTCCGAAGAACCATGGTGAGCTTTAACATACAGCACCGTCCGGCGTCCGTCAACTTTTCCTTTAAAATGCCTGAACCACCAAGTAGATTTTGGAGCATCCTTAGGCCAAGGGGACTCAATTTTGTATAAACTATGGGTGTGCCCTCCCCGGGAGCAGAGGGACAGGGCCCAATAGGGGAAATATAGCAAATTCTTTAAAATCCTTCTACTTCTGTAGGAATGAAAGGATTTGTTCCATATTTAGTCTGAAGCATTCTTGGGTGAACCAATTCTTTAAAATCCTTCTCCTTCTGAAGGAGTGAAAGGATTTGGTATGGAGCATCCTTGGGTAAAGGGGAACCAATTTTGTATAAACGGTGTGCTCCCCCTGGGACCTGAGGGGCGGGGCCCAATAGGGGAAAAAGAGTTAAATCCTTTATAATCCTTCTTTTACCATAGGGATTAAGGGATTTATCCTAATTTAGTCTGAAGCATCCTTGGGCAAAAGCGATTCAAATTTGTATAAACAGCGAGTGTGGCCCCCTTGGGCTTCTTCTGTACGAATAACAGGATTTTGTCCAAATTTGGTATGAAGCATTCTTAGGTGAAGGGGAAACAATTTTGTATAAATGGCGTCTCTGGCCTCCCCTGGAGGCAGATAGGCGGGGCACAATAGGGGAAATAGAGGTAAAACCTTTAAAATCGTTCTTCTACCATAGGGATTAAGGGATTTTATTCTTATTTAGTCTGGAGCATCCTTGGCCCAAGGGGACTCAATTTTGTATAATTGGTGGGTATGACCCCCCTAGGGGCATCGGGACAGGGCTCTGTTTTAAGTTTGTTCTCGCTATATCTCCAGTACTGGATGAATCTTTCTGAGAATTCATATGTACTTACAGCACCTACCATGGAGTGCTACATCTTTACTTCATACCAATTATTTTAAACATATTCAGGTGAGTGAAACAGGCCCTCTGGGCCTCCTGTTTATAGACACCAGGAAATATCTATTATCAGGATGTGACCGGTACAATTGAGTATGGGGCTAAACACTTTCCCTCAACTATGGGATACTGCAAAACCACTACGTGTGCATGTAGAATATGTGTCAGATATGGAACGTGTTAAGATACTTGATAGTTATATGTTTTACAGACTTTACAGACATTAAAGCATACTTGTGAATGTACCATTTTTATGTTGCGATAACTTTTCTTAAATCAATTCCTTTTATCCGAAACAGAAGCCGTAGTTATCGGCCGCACGCGCCATTTTTACAACGTAAACAAACTTTATCCCGTTTTCAATGCGTATTCCGATTTTATCTGATGTCGAAAATGAATTATTTATAGACAAAAGTTGTTGCATGATCATAAATTCTAAGCCAACATCATTACAATTTAAAAATCATTTTTGTTATGCGATCCTATTTACTAAGATTGTTCTCCTTCCTCACTTATTCATCCTGAACCGTCATTTCGATATATAAAAAAATCATTTACTTCAGCAATATAATTAAATCATACCATTTTACTGGACCCGGGAATATTATGAATTACATAAATCTAAATGTCAGACAGGTAGAAAAACCCGGCCCGGGGACAGAACCCATTGTCTTTCTCACCTGGGAGGTTTGGTCTAGTTTTGTCTAATTTTATTTAGCGTCCTAATAACAGCTAATGTAGTTTAAGGCCGTGTCTCTATGTGAGTAGTGTATGCATGCTTGCGTGTGTGTATGCAGGAGACAGGGTATGTTGGTGTGCTTGCCTCCTTGTAATTGCACGATTGATTGATTGATTGATTGATAGGTTTTACGTCCGCTTCACTACCGCGTATTTCGGTTATCCAGCAGACACTTTATAGTGCTATCTCACTGAAATGTCATGCCGCAGGCTTACAAACACAGCATTCTGCCCTGTCAAATTATACTGACAGCGGGTGAACCAGTTGTTGACTTTCCCTTAATGTTGAACGTTAAGCAGGGAATAACAGCTACCATTTTTAAGGACTTTGGTATGTCTCGGCTTTGGGACAGAACCTTTTGCCATCCTCACCTGGGCGAACGCTCGACATTCAAGCCAAAAGTCAGGTGTTGCCAAGCAAAGCGTTAGGAAATAAAATTGTAGTTAGAAGTAGAAAGATAAAGATCCCGAATATTGAAATAGGTGCAGCAGATTGTTTTGGCTGCTTTGGTATCCCCAAGGTACATATGTAGAGGACACAAACGCAAATCCCCAATTCTGCAGGGAGTTCCTATTAGCTAACCAAAAGGCCTAGGGTGATGATATTTGGCCAGAAGCAAACTAGGATGAAGGGCTACCAAGTTTGTTCAAATAAATGACCTTCACCTATTTTCAAGGTCACAGGGGTCAAATATGTTAAAAACTATAAACAACTTCTTCTGAATAACCTAAATGCCCAGAGTGATGATTTTTGGCTAGTAACATGCTGGGATGAAGGGCTACCAATTTTGTTCAAATGAATGACCTTCGTTCATTTTCAAGGTCACAGGGGTCAATTGTCTTCAAAAATTTTTATACAGCTTCTTCTGAAAAACTAAGAGGCCTAGGCTAATGATATTTGGCAAGTAACATGCTAGAATGAAGGGCTACCAAATTGTTCAAATGAATTACCTTTACTGATATTCAAGGTCACAGGGGTCAAATATGTTAAAAACCTTTAAACAACTTCTTCTCAATAACCAAAAGGCCTAGGATGATGCTTTTTGGCCAGTAGCATGCTGTGGTGAAAGGCGACCAAGTTTGTTCAAATCAATGACCTTCGTCCATTTTCAAGGTCACAGGGGTCAATTGTTTTAAAGAATCTTTATACAACTTCATCTGAATAACTAAGAGGCCTAGGCTAATGATATTTAGCCAGTAACATGCTAGAATGAAGGGCTACCAAGTTTGTTCAAATGAATGACCTTTACTTATATTCAAGGTCACAGGGGTCAAATATGTTTAAACACCTTTAAACCACTTCTTCTCGATAACCAAAAGGCCTGGGATGATGCTATTTGGCCAGTAGCATGCTGTGATAAAGGGCTGCCAAGTTTGTTCGAATGAATGACCTTGCCTTATATTCAAGGTCACATGGGTCAAATATGTTTAAAACCTTTAAACAACTCTTTCTGAATAACCAAGAGGCTTAGGATAATGATATTTGGCCTGTAGCATGCTGGGAAGAAGGTATACTAAGTTTGTTCAAATGAATGACCTTGACTTATATTCAAGGTCACAGGGTCAAATATGTTTAAAACCTTTAAACAACTTCTTCTGAATAACTGAGAGGCCTAGGGTTAAGGTATTTCGCCATTAGCATGCTGGGATAAAGGGCTACCTATTTTGTTCAAAAGAATGACCTTAACTTATATTCCATGTCACAGGGGTCAAATATGTTAAAAACCTTTAAACAACTTCTTTTGAATAACTAAGAGGCATAGGGTTATGATATTTGGCCAGTAGCATGCTGTGATTAAGGGCTACCAAGTTTGTTCAAATCAATAGCCTTCATCCATTTTCAAGGTCACATGGGTCAATTGTCTTAACAAATCTTTTAACAACTTCTTCTGAATAACTAAGAAGCCTAGGATAATGATATTTAGCCAGTAACATGCCAGGATAAAGGGCTACCAAGTTTGTTCAAATGAATGACCTTTACCTGTTTTCAAGGTCACAGGGGTCAAATATGTTTAAACACCTTTAAACAACTTCTTCTCAATAACCAAAAGGCCTGGGATGATGCTATTTGGCCAGTAGCATGCTGTGATGAAGGGCTGCCAAGTTTGTTCGAATGAATGACCTAGACTTATATTCAAGGTCACATGGGTCAAATATGTTTAAAACCTTTAAGCAACTCTTTCTGAATAACCAAGAGGCTTAGGATAATGATATTTGGCCTGTAGCATGCTGGGAAGAAGGTATACTAAGTTTGTTCAAATGAATGACCTTGACTTATATTCAAGGTCACAGGG